ACAAAGAAAAGGAGCCTCCCCCACACTCAGCAGGTCTAGCACTCAAGAATGATATACATCAAATTTGTTAAGAGTAAAGGAAAAGTGAGTGATAATTTCCAAACTGACCTGGATATAGAAATTCTTGAGTCAAACTTTCATAGCAGATGGAATGATGTGTCCTGACAGTTACACACAGCCTTTGCCAGGGTAAAATGATAACCAGTGACAGAAAGACCATAAGAACTTTGGAAAATGAAAACTCTGAGAGCTAGCTTTTTATTTTTTTTTAACTGCTTAAATTAGAAGTAGTTGTCTATGCCGAAATGAGACTTTGAAGATATTGTGACTCAAATATAGACTAGTACTTTCCAACAACATTTATGAATGCTACAATTAATCCAGTAATTAATTTCATTGATAATGTACAATTAGGAGGCTAAAGGATCTGAACGTATTACTTCTCTAACTTTAAGTGCTTCACACATTATAATTAAGCAAAGCAAAGTTAAAATCATACACATAATTAAGGAAAGCAGTGTTAAAATAAATGAAATAAAATTGTTCTCTGTACTCAGCTTAATCTCCATTAAAAGACTGTTATATACTGTTAAAGATGATAAGCTTCCAAACACTTAGCCTACAAGTATATTAACAGAGCCTGCAATCAGTGTTTAATTCCTTTGACTTGGAACAGAATCAGTTCTTTTCTTTGATGGGTGTTTATAATAAATAGAGGTCTTATCTTCCAAATAAAATATTTAAGCATAAGGACTTTTGTGCTTCTAAAATCATAGAAGAATGAGCCTCTATTTAGAATCTACGAAGAATTATGGAAGATTAAGTTGTTCAGTGATATACATTTTTCTCGGGATATTTTTGATCTGTTGGGAGACATTTCATTTTTGAACATTTAGGAATAATACATACCCACATGGATGTGGAGGTAGCAGGCACTTATTGAATATTTCTTGTTTCTTCCATCAAAAAGTGATTTGCACCAAGAACCACTCAACTATTTAAGAGGTTGCAGGAAAACAGTACATCTGGGTCCTTTTTCCTAAATTTTACTCTATTGAGCATACTGAAAATTCATGAAAACACTTTTTACTTTCATGGGAAAAAAGTAACATGAATTGAGCGACCACTATTTTTCACACATATACTGGGCACGTATGTATGTGTGTGTGTGTGTATATATATAT